GGCAGGGAAAATGTCTGCCTGGGTCTTGAGCTGGGGTCTTTTTAAAAGGGAGGCTTCTGCTTCCTGCAGAAGGTAGGAAGGTGTATTTTTTTTTTAAGTTGGGGGGGGGGTGGGAGAGCAGGACTGTTAAAACCTGTCCTCTTTAGAGATCAAAGGGGGAGCCTACTGTGTTGGCCAAACAGTGGAGAAAAGACTGCTTCTCTTGACTTCAAAGACCAAGGTGCTTATCAGCTAGGTTCCCTTTTCTCAGGAGCATGAGAATTCCTTGGGATCCTGTTGGTGAGGGGACAGGGCTATCTGAGCCTTAACATCAACAACTCTGTATCTCCATAAATCTGTTCAGACCTTTAATAAGTTTGCTTAAAATGAATTTCATTATTCCTTCTATTCTGGAAATATCCTGTTATTTTAATTTTTATATATAAATCTTTTATTACTATAGTATCTTTTAAATTCAGGAGACCATTTGTAATTAGGGCAGTATTATATACAGCTGGCTGGGAAGAATGGCTGGGTACTCAGGTGAGGGTCCAATGACTCTTTTTATCTCCCCTTTAATGAAGGAATAGAACTGTCAGCAAGCCCAGTTGTGATGACCGTTTGTAAGCAGGCACAGCTAAAATCATTAAGATGGTAGCTCTTTGACTCAGAGAGTGCTGTACCTGGATTAAGATAATATAATGACTTAACATTATCCATGTATGCACTGTGCTTTAAGTTCCTAGGTAGACCTTATAGAAAACATAAAGCCATTTAAATATTTTACTTTAACAAGTCAATTTGATATCTAGTAAATTATTATTTAATAACTGTTCCATTAGTATTAAACATAAATCTACCCATTCATTACCATCTCATTCAATAAATACTGTGGTTAGACACAATGTCACAACAAACCAGTTTCAAAACCCAGACTGATTACCTTTATGAAATTCTGATCAGATGTATATAAAAGAAACTCTTAAAGCCAGCAGTACTTTACATATACATCTATACATATACATCCATACAAACATACATACAAATAAAAGAGTGCCCCTCAGACCCTCTCCCTGGCCTCTGAGAAAAAGCTGCCCTCCACCTGACTCTGGAAATCCCCTTCATTGTTCAAACCCTTTCCTGGTATCTGTTTATGCTTTTTATGGAAATGGTCTTGGGCAGAAGAGATAGAACGTTCTGCCCCAGGTAAGCTAGCCAACGACAGTATACTTGATACTTCTGTGTATGGTCTCTATGGGAATAATCTGGGGCAGAAGAGAAAAAAACGTTCTGCCCCAGGTAAGACAGCTAATGGCTGTATAGGTAAAGTCTCTGGAAATCAGCCCTAGATTGTTCCAATCCTTTCCTGGTTATTCTGTGTATAGTTTCTATGGACAGCCCCTACTTTGTGGTTTTTTGCTTAAAAGCCCTGCATTTTCACTGCTCAGGATCACAGTACAGCTTCCAAGACTGTCTGCGTCCCCAGCCGGTTGGCCTCAATAAAGCGCTTCTGTTTACTGAGACTCAGTGTCAGAGTGGTCAATTTGGGGAATTCCTTGGACCTCAAACAATACCATACTCAGAGGGACGAGTATGGGCAGAATATTCTGAAACATAATATGCTTATTTTTTCCAGCGGAGTCAACATTTGAACTATACAGTTGACAAGAATATATGGCAAAGAAACTGCCTCACAGTGTGGAGAGGATGTGAAGGGTCAAAGGACAGGACAGAACAACGTAGAAAAGGAGTGTAAATGATACCGTACAAAACAGTAGTATTAAAAATATTGGGGGCTGGAGAGATGGTCATCTTGCAGATGACCCAGGTTCAGTTCCCAACACTCATATGGTGGCTAACAACCGTTGGTAGCTCCAGTTCCGGGGGACCCAACATCCTCTTCTGACTTCCATTGATATTGCACGATGTGGTGCACATACACACGTTGGCAATACACTCATACATATAAAAAATAAAATATTTTAAAATAAAGACATAGTAACAAACACCCATGCACTCACCATCTCCTGGTGTCAGCCACCCCTGCCACACATCCACAAGGCCACAGATTCCAGATCCCGGCCCACACCCGCTTCATTTGCGCCTCCAAAAGCCAGCTCCCCCGCCCCTCAGAACCAGAGTGGAAACTAGTGCTCCCTAAGCTAGGAGGCCTCTCCACAATCCTGTCGAAAGACCCCACCCACTCCTCTGAAGAGGGTTTAGTGCTCCTTTCTGGGAGCTCTGGGCATAGAGGGCTCTGGGAAATGTAGTCAAGGAAGCGACCCGCTGCGCAAACCTGAGTCTCGCTGGTACGGCATCTCCAACCGACCAAAACTACTTCCAAGGAGGCAGTTCATGGGAGATGTAGGGAAATTCGCAGCTGACAAGCATTCCCTAAACAAGCTCCGATTAGGTGCTTCTGAGTGTTTTTCTTTTTTTCCTTTTTTTTCCTGGACTTCATCTGTGCCCTGTGAATCCAACTTCAGCAAGAATCCTGTCAGGCCTGAATAGCAAGAATTCCCCGGACCATCCCATGACACCGAAGTTCCCCTTAGTGCTTTACCACCCCTTTGACTCCTGAACTTGCCTGCTGGCTATAACCCCCAGCAACCTTGGCAGTCCACGCTGACTACTGCAAAGTCTCCAACGTGCTTGTGTAACTAGTTGGGTGCGGGTTTCCTTTAGCCGCTCCCTGATTTCCACCACCCTACTGGCAGCCGATGGGGGTGCACGGCCTCCTGGGAAATGTAGTTCAAGACCTAGTCAGCAACCAGATGGGAGGGGGTCGCCCGGATCCCGAGGGGAGGCCTGGCGGCTGTGGTCAGACGCCCTGCGCCCTGGGAGGCTACTTCTTCTTGGACTTCTCTCCCGCTAGGAGCGCGCTGAGGCTGTGGAGGACTACAGTGGCGGGGCGCGTTCGCGACACCCTAGAGACCACGCGGACGTGAGACCTGCGCCGTTGACGCTACACCAGCCTGGGGAGTCTGATGAAAGGAAGCCGCCAGCCCAGTCCTGAAGGTGAGGAAGGGCAAGGAATGAAGATAAATCATGAGTGGCCAAAGTTGTTGTTTTGGGAGAGACCAAGATTCTGTGTCGCTTTATGAGGGTGGAGGGTAATATTATTTGGGGGTGGGAGGGATTTGTGTATTGATCTGTGCATGTGATGACTCTGTGTGTGTGTGTGTGTGTGTGTGTGTGTGTGTGTGTGTG